TTCTACAACTATTACGGTGCATGTTAAGATAACATCAGATACTTCATTTTATAGCCTTGTCACTTAAAAAAAATACATTAATAACTCACATATTCACCTGGGAGAGGCAGGAAATTTTGGATCTATGTCAAGCAGACAGACAGCCAGTCACTTGAATCTTGAAAGTGTTAATGGTATTAAAGAAAATGAAAGTATATGCATTAATTTTCTTTGATAGTTACATCAGAGTTACTGTGTCTTGGTCTGAATTCGAGATCTGGTAGGAGTTCTTTCACTAAAGTTTCCCAATTCAAGGGGGACCTAATGGTGAGATACGTCACTCGTACCACACTGGCAGCATATCACTACTAGTCATCTACAACTAGATGCCTGGGAGTTGTTACTAATGGAAACTTAAACCTTTACTGACTTTCAGGAGTGCCTAGGTCTGTCCTGATCTTTAAAATGAAAAGAAAATAAGAGATTAAGAGTGTTCACCCTAGAATATCTAAAGAAATCTCTATGGAAACAGCATACCTAGCAGTAAGAAGTACTTTTCAAAGTAAATGGCTGACTGCTGAGCTATGTTTGAAATATAAATCATTAAATTAATAAAACCTTTATGAAAATGAATGTGCCATCGCCTTCTGGATACTGTACACCGAAGTGTGTACKGGGATTTGGGATTACTGTGCAGGCAGCATCCCACGTCTGCTCTTCTGCACCCTTTTCCCTTTCACTTTAAGGCGGAAGGCAGTACTGCAGAGCTTGGGGGCGGGGAGGTGTGACGGGGAAGGGACCTTCCCCCCACCCCACCCCCGGGTCCCCAAGCCGAGGGTGCACCTGCGGGAGCGGGGCATTCCCGGGAAGCACGGCAGCAGGCACTCACAGATTTGCTCGGGTCTGCCTGCCAGCGGCTTTTCCTGAAGAGGGCGACTGGCTGTTTTCACTGGCAAGATGAAGAGCGTGGGGAGAGCTATGGAGGGGCCGGGAGCTGGGACAGAAGGGATGCTGGCACCGTAATGCGCGGGAAGCATCAGCTGAAGTTTCGATTGGAATACAAGTTAATGGAAGAATAACATTTGCTGCACGATTGGGAGCGGGAGGAGCAATGCTGGTTGTGTGTGATTGTTGAAGATCCCTGCTCATCGCAGGGGAATTGGACTAGAGCACCTTTAAAGGTCCCTTCCAGCCCAAACTTTACTCTGATTGCCTCTGTGGTCTGCATCTGCTTTCTCAGTGTTCTCTCTCCCATCTATCCCTACCTGCATTCTCAGCTGACAGCTTGTTTGTTGTAAGCATGAAACAATAATGCAGCTTTCTCATTAAGATTTCAAGAAGATTTTCAGTTAAAATTCATATATTCCCCTTCTTAAAAAAAACAAACAAAAAACCCCCACCAAAACAAAACAACAAAAAAAAACCCAAAAACCCAACCAACATTTTTGAAGATTTATTTCAAAATCAGGTAAAACTTTTGCAAGACTAGTATCAACACATTCAGCTCTGCATTTAATGAACAGTTAGAGGAATTAAAATTAAGAGTTGTATGTGAAGTTTTACTGGTCTCAGTAAGTTTATGGGATTGTTGGTAAGAGTATGGCACTGTTATGTATACAAATGCTGTATTGCTTTTCTATTTTTTTCTACTTTTCTAGCTTAATTATSCCAACCTAAAATAAGAGAACTGTTTAGGGGATTTTGGTTTCTCAGTTTTTTGGTTTTTTTTTTTCTTCTTTTTTCCGTGCTGTCTATAGGATCTATAAARTAGTTCTTCAGAACTGAAGAAAAAGTTGATCTGTTGTGTGTTTTTTTGTTTTGTTGTTATTACTCCCCATGCTGTTGCGGTAACTTCAAGAAACTCCATTTCAGTGCTAGGATCCCTGCTCTGTTCAAAGCTATATAAAAATCCAAAGGATAGTATCACAACCAAGAACTTACAGAGAGCATATATTAGACAAGAAATAAAATTTGGTGCTGGGAAATGATGTGAACATACTAGTTAACACAGACACTAGTCTGTGTTATTAATCAATACTTCCTTAACTACTGTAATATGTGTAAAAGTAATAGTTAAACCATGTATTCTTCTAAATAACTCTTCAAATCTTTTTTTAACTATGAGGCAGCTTGAACTACTTTCAGATATGTGAGGCAAAATAGGACATAGCATGAAAGTATTTGATCATTTCAGAACTTTAAGATGGAGGCATGTGCTGTAGTCCTTTGGAAGTGGAAACTCCCCTTTGCATCCTAAGATGGGACCACTTTACAAGGATGTACAATCAAAGCCAAGTGACTTTTGTTTGGCACAATAAAAAATGTTAGAAAACTGATGGTGATCAAAGTAACAGGTTGGAAATGGTTGTTTTTGTAGTAGCGCTCTGAAGGAATGGAAACAGGAAAGATGACAGAGCCATATAAATTATTTTCAGTAGTTACAAGAGGACAGTCCAGGGGAGAATGTCGTCTGTGTAGATGACTAGAAAATTTAGCTATTTGCCAAAAATAATAGAGATCTTTCATTTAACTTGATATGATTTAGAGGGATAAATTGAAAATGAGAGAAGTTCCTTTCTTCTGCAAACCTGCTCCATCACAGGCATCTTGTGGGGTCACATCCACCTGCTCTGGCATCCGCCATCGTGGACTCATTCATGGATCACTGTCCCTTCAACTCAAGTTCAGACTGAAGTTCCAGCCTGTCCCATACAGCAGGACAGGAACAACAGCCACACTCTGGCCAGCTGCCTTTCCATGGAGGTGCATGGCTGTTATCAAAGCATTCCYGGGCACAATACAAGAAGGTGATAAGCAGTACAGCACTACAGCAAGCACTAAAAGCAAAATGTGCCTAACTAAAAAGCATAAGCCTTGAAATACAGTCATGCAAGTGAGCCCCAGGGCAAGTGCAGGAGCCTACTCATTACTAGCTAAAAAGCACTAGCAAATATTAATTCAATCTAGTATATCCTGGAATAATTAAWTCATAAAACTTGGTAGCTAAAATACACATTTTAAGACTTAAATCAGGGAAGCTTTGAAGCATAAAACCTGAAATTAAATTCAATCTCCTAATTAAGCCAAAAATAATTATTTCCTTCACACTTCCTATGCTAAAGTTATCAACAAAAAAAAAAAAAAAGAAAAAGAGCAGAGAGGAAGAGGTCTAGGAGGTTC